CTTCGCTTGCTGTCCCATGGAGGGCACTGTATTCAGTGAGACAAAAGGAAGCTGACCCAGGAACATCAGAGGAGAGAGAGACAAAGGTAGAGCAGTGCCTAGTCCCAACATCATTCCTACCATTCCTTCATTCCCATGACAGTTTCCTTGCTGATGTTGGTCACCGTCATACCTCTAGAATCAGACACAGCAAGTAGGGCCCAGCAAGCAGAACATGACCGATTAGACAGACAGAGATCCCTCCTCCCAGAAGCTAATATGTACAGCAGTCAGGGCAGCAGCATGATTTGTTATTACATGGATTTAGATCAAATTATGCTGCTCAAAGCCTAGGTTATGCAAGTCAGGCTAGGTTGTAAAGAACATGGTTAATCATTCCACAGATAGTTAGCACCTACGCTATACCAGGCACTGGGCCAAGCACTGGAATGCATCAGTGTATAAGAATACCAAAGTCCTTGCCCTCATGCAGCTTACATCCTAGAAGGAAGACAGACACTAAACAACAAACATAGAATTATAGTTTATGAACGTTCTATGAAGTAGATGGAATACTCTGGTAAAGATAACCTGTGTGTGCCTGTTGGAGAACAGTACACTGTAGATTGGATGACCAGGCAAAACCTCTCTGAGATGTGGGCATTGAAGCTAAGACCTGAAGGATGACAGTGAGTGAGCCACATATGAAAAGCGATGTTAAGAGGGTGAAGGATGTGCAATGGCCCTGAACTGGAAAAAGCTTGAGGTGCTCTAGCCAGTGTGGTGAGCAAGGGGTGAAGGGACTTGAGATGAAGCTGCAGAGGTAAGCAAAGGCCACATCTTCAGAGTTGTCTAACGTGTAAACAGTTGTATTTTCTGTACAGTATGATACCCCTGAAAGGTTTTAAGCGAGAAAGGAACATTTGGAAAAAATCACTTCGGTTTTAGGGTGGAAAAATGGATTCAGGAGAGGACAGAGAGATACTGTCTTAGCCTGTGAGAGATGCTGTAACAAAATGCCACAGAGTGGGTGGCTTATACACAATAGAAAATGGCTCACGGTTTTAGAGGCTGGGAAGACCTGGACCAGGGCGCTATGGTTGCCTTCTGGGGAGGACCTTCTTCCTGGTGCATAGCTGGTGCCTTCTCAGTGTGTCCTCACATGGTGGAAGGACTGAGTGATCTCTCTGGAACCTCTTTTACAAGGCACTACAGCCCTGGCCGGTTTGGCTCAGCGGTTAGAGCGTCGGCCCACGGTCCAGAGAGACCTGGGTTCGGTTCCCGCTAAGGGCACGTACCTCGGTTGAGGGGCACGTACCTCGGTTGCAGTTTGTCCTCGGCCCTGGTTGGTCGTGCGGGTGGCAGCCACTCGATGTGTCCCTTTCACATCGATGTTTCTCTCTCTCTCTCTCTCTCTCTCCCTCCCACTCTGTCTGAACAAAAAATGGAAAGATGTCCTCGGGTGAGGATAAAAAAAAACAAAAAAACAAGGCACTACTGCCATTCACGAGGGCTCCACCCTCATGATTAAAGCACCTCCCAAAAGCTCCACCTCCTAATAACATCACCTTTGAGGGTTAGGATCTCAGCATATGAATCTGGGAGGCACACAAACTGCAGCAGGTACAGAGAAAGGAGGTGGGGCGGGTAGTTAGAGGCATTGCAAGTCCAGGTGAGAGATGACAGTGCCTGATACATTATGGGTGTAGAACTCTGGAGGCTCAATAATCCAGGAGTAAAATGACTACCTAGCCCAGGAATTCCCAAATCTTGGTAGCTAGCTAACAGAAGCATATAGGGAGCTACCAAAACCATATTACTGAGTCCCATCCCTGAAGTTTAAAATTAGGGTGGAGCTCAGGAGTCTGAACTTTCCATGAGCCCCTGAGACATTCTGATACAAAACCAGCCTTGAAAAAACCATGAATTTTTGCCATTATTCCAGGTGAGTTTTATTCCCACACTCCAGAGGCTTTGGGTTTCTCCTCAGCCCAGCCAGCACGTAGTTAAAGGCACAGACTAATTTCAAAGCAGTAACAACGCATTAGGAAGCAGCAACAGTGTCCCAGATTCTGGCTTATTCAAGCAAGTTCAAGCTCCACAGCCAGTCTAACCTCAAACAGCGGGAGTACTTGGGGAAATGAGCTCTCCTATTGAATTGACTTCTAACCTTGTTTTGGGTACTTTGTTAAGGAAATTTTCTAAAAGTGTTGTGGTTTTGTCTTTTGGTAAAAGGCAGTATAGCAGGCATATGGGGGGTCCTTCCCAGCTTCAGGGTTATCTTCATTATCCTGGTCTGGAACTGGAGCTGGTGAGTTGAATTAGAACAGCAGGCTTCCGAAGGCAGAGGCCATGGGGAGGAGGCTTTTGTGTCCCTCACTCCCTAGGATCCCCAGTGGCCCTCCACCCCCACCCAAGCAAGCCATCACAGCACATGTATATGTACACTACAGAAAAACAGTGCAGCTGTGCCTGCCAAGGGAAAAGGGCTTCCAGCCACTCCAAAGAAGCATACATTCTAAGTAAATGAGTCCCCTGATCCCCCTTTTGCTACCCTCTTCTATGGGATCTCTTTTATTCCGGAAAGTCTAGAACCATCACTGGCTCTGGGAAGGATCTTATACCAGTCCAAATCCTTTTCTATATATATTGGTATAAGCTTAATATTCTACTAGTTTTCTTCTACTTCAGGCCAAGATGGACTAACAGGGACTAGATATACCTCCCACCTGACACAACGGAAAACTAGAAAAATGCATGTTCAGCTTTTAAGATGCTGAACATCAGACAACACGAGAGTGAGCTCGGAGAGGCGGGAACGGGAGAGCGAACATTGCCCCAGCGTACTGACCCGAAAGGGTTCTGGGCCACAGTGCAGCAAGGAAGCCATAGCTATTGACTGTGGTCATGGTGTCATGGGTGTGTACATTTGGGAAAATGTATCAAATTGTGTACTTTAAATATTGCAGTTTATTGTCTGTCAAGTATACCTTTTAAAAAAAAAGTTGTTAAGCCCTGGACAGGTAGCTCAATTGGTTAGAGCATCATCCTGATACACCAAGGTTGTGATTCCTTCCCAGGTCAGGGCACATACAAGAATGCATAAATAAATGGAAAATAAATCAACGTTTCTTCTCTCTCTCTCTCTCTCTGTTCCCTGCCCTTTCTCCCTCCCTTCTACTCTCTCAAAAAAAAAAAAAAAAAGTCAATGGGAAAAATATCCTTAGGTGAGGATTCAAATAAATAAATAATTTTGGGTGAGAAAGGAAGTTATAATAATGAAATTTAGATTTAGAAGAGCTTTGTAGATCATCTTGATAAAACAGCGAGAGGAGGTGAGGGTGAGAGAGCAATGGACAAAGGCCCCTTCTCGGCGGCTTAGTTATTGCACAGCGTGGTATATATACTACAGGTCTGCGAGTACTCCCCAGCCAGAGTTCACTTTTCCCTTACAGCATTTTGCAATGTTTCCCTAAGCTGTCTTTTAAGGTCCCAACCCACGTTCATTTTCCCCATGCCTATGAGTCTCTTGACTCACAGCTCTTAGAACTCTATGCTCCCCTCCTCCTCCTAATGTCTAGATACTTACTGTGTAATAGAATCACTCTGTGAGTTATGAAGCTTAGGAAGCTCCTTTTTAAATTTATACTTGGACTTCTTTCCCACTGTACAGACTGGAATTTCAATGCCAGATGAACTTCTCCACCAGATGAGGACCTCAGGCCCAACCTGTCTGAACCAGCACTGGGCTCGCGCCCTGCTAGCATTCTTATTTCTCTGCAGGGCCTCGCCTTGCAGTGACCCCAGCTTGAAATCACAGTGGTTTCTCTCTCCATCTCTCCCACGTTCAATCGACAGTCTTGAATATTATACCTCTGCAATCTCTCTCCATCCCTTTTCTTGAGAGCTTGTTTGGAGGTTCTAGCAGGGGAGCGCAGCTACTCGTATACCCTTGACCGAAGACCGGTCCTCTCCTCTGGGGGGAAGGTCGTCCTCTTCGACCGAGCGCGCAGCTTCGGGAGGGACGAACATGGATCGGTTGAGGGAGGAGGGGGACACCCGCCTAGCCAGCCAGATCAGCCGAATCAACCCTGGCGATCAATGGGGTGACAGATGTCGCAGCCAGATCGCCCTCACATCCTCCATCCCTTTTCTTTATTCCAACTCCCACTAGCCCAATTCAGATTCTCATTACTTCCCACCAACCTTTGGTCTCTCCCTGCTTCAATCCATTTTAAACTTTCAGATTATTTTCTATAACAGTGATTTTTATCATATTCCCCCACTGAAAACTTTTAATAGTTTTCTCATATCCTATAAAATGACATGTTAAATCTTCATCTGGATTTTTAAGACCCTCCAAAATACGAACCCAATCTTACTTTAACTTTATATCTAGTAATCATGCTGTATTTTAAAATCTCACTAGACTGCTTACCTTTCCTAATACATATTCCATTGTTTCCTACCTCAATCCTAGCGTCTACCGTTCTCTTCAACTGCAGTAACTCCTTCTGCTTTCGCAATACCCTTCACCGCCAGCTGGCATCCTGACTTCTCCCCAGCACTGAGTCTAACCTTTCCCTTCTTTACATCTCTGACAATCCGCTCAAACTCATTTATGACAGGTAGCATGTAGACGCTGTATTATCTTTATTTATGCAAATGTCATGTGTCCTGGTTAGAATCAGCTTCTCAAAGACAGGAACTATGCTTTCTTTATCTTTTTATTCATCACACAGAACCAGAGCTCAATAAATGTTTTTGAACTTCATTTTAATCCATTATTTCTTGTGCAACATTTATATATTTGGTTGAAATGAGAAAAGCTATACTTTACTATTTAACTAATTAGATTTGAATGTAAAGCAAGTTCTCTCAAATATCTCTTTATTATTACACTTATGAGATAAACAGAACTCGGTCCAAGCCATTAGTAGAGAAAAAGCGTTCGAAAAAATTGAAATGTAAAATAAGTTTTGGTTAGCAAGTTAAAAACATACTCCAAACCACAATCTCACCTGAGAGAGAATTCATCCAGACTTTTAGGCTCTTTGCCTCTCCAAAAGTCAGGGCCATTATTCTCTTCCTTGACTAAAAGGGGAAAAAAGTTATTCAGTCATTCATTACTGATTTGATGAGTATTCATAGATTTTCACAAAAACTTACAACAACAAAATTATAAGCTGCCTGGCTGGTGTAGCTCAGTGGATTGAGCATCATCCCATGGACTGAGAGGTCCCAGTTCGATTCCTGGTCAGGGCACATGATCCGGTTGTAACTCCATCACCAGTAGGGGGCATGCAGGAGACAGTCAATGGTGTATCTCTCTGACATCGATGTTTCTCTCTCTCTCTCTCTCTCTCCACCCCCCTTCCTCTTTCTCAATAAAAACATTTTTAAAAAATTATAAGCTGGCCCTGGCCGGTTTGGCTCAGCGATTGGAGCATTGGCCTGCGGTACAGAGAGACCCGGGTTCGGTTCCCGCTAAGGGCATGTACCTCGGTTGCAGTTTGTCCCCGGCCCTGGTTGGTCGTGCGGGTGGCAGCCACTCGATGTGTCCCTTTCATGTCAATGTTTCTGTCTCTCTCTCTCTTCCTCTCTCTCCCTCCCACTCTGTCTGAACAAAAAAAAAAAAGGAAAAATGTCCTCGGGTGAGGATAAAAAAAAAAAAATTATAAGCTGGGCAGCATGATGAAACAAAAAGAACTTTGGCACTGACATTAAAGCATGTGTGCTCAAATTCAGTACACTTTATAAATTACTTTATTGCTCTGGCCTCAGAGTCTTCAGTAAAAATGAGGATGATAATTCTGTGAATGAAATGAGAGAATGTGATGCCTGGCAGTGTAAGTACGCAGTAAACATTGGCTGAATTTAAAGTAAAGCTCAAAGAACCAGTCGTAACTTACATCAAGAAAACTGTCGTGTCCTCCCCATTATGTGAGTGCATTTTGTTTATTTAGAAGGATAAAGAATAATATCTAATAAGTAATCTAGTTACAATATCTAATAATATCTAACAAGAACTAAATTTACATTTCCATAAGCTTCTGCAAGAGGTCAGCATTAGCTACACTTTCTGACCTCCAACTCAACATTCCCTGTCTAACCACCTCCCCATCCTTGCAAAGAAGAGTCACGAGTCAAGGATGCACAAGACGTCCCTAGAGCAATGCCTTTTGGAGATTCCTCTGGCTCTCCTTGATGTTTCCCTTCTTGGCTTGCTTGCTTCCCTTTCCTCCTCCCTCCCTTTTTTTTTCAGTTAATTTTTCCTTTGAGGTTAAATTTACATCAAATGAAATGCAAAATCTTAAGTATACTTCCACTGAGTTTGACCCATTTCCTTTTGAACTACTCTGTGTAACTCTTGTCTCTCCTGTGGGTCTGAGAGAAGCTTAAGGTACCTTGATGCTTGGGAGAAAGAACTCTCTCACACTGGAAGGACCAAGGACGACGCCAGGTGGCATGGACAGAAAGATGGAAGGTGCAGGCCAGGAAGGCTTCTCTGGTTAGGCCTAAGAGGTCAGTACGGCCCCCATGAAGTCCAGCATCGCTCATCAGAACTGAAAACCACCTGGGGATCTGAGACTGAAGGTTCTATGATAAAAAGTTCTTCAGGAACCTGCAGTTGAGGAGTGACTCTTGTTGGGGTCAAGGTGTAGTGGCCATCTGTCATTTTGTCTTCTCGGCACCTTCCTTTTTTGAGGAACTGTTCCCTTTCTACAGTTACCCCATTTTTTAAAAAAGTGACTGCCGCTTCCGTGAAACTAATGATGCTCCTCACTTGCATGAGTTCCTTCCAAAGTCTCGAGAGAGGTACTAATCATGTGTTCACATGGTCAAATGTCTTTATAAAATATACAAAGGAAGCCCTTTTCAGTCATGATTATTTGAGACCACAGGCTCTTCCCACTTCAATTTTCCTTTGGTCTCACTTCCCCTTGTCAGGAGTGACCACAGGCACTTTATATTTGAGATTTTTTCTGCCTGGGTTTTTTTGGGGTGCTTCAATCATTGTGTGTGGTGTTTTAACTCTTTTTCTTAAAGAGGGCTCTCAAATTGTATAAGTTCTAATCCCCACAAACCCTAGATCCACCCCTGCCCTAGCCATAGCTGAATGGTCTAGGGATGGCCTTCTGATCCAAATCGGGCTGATCGATGTCTCTCCCTAGACTCGTGACATTTGAACCTGAGAGGCAGAGATAGGAGTCTTTGAAGCTGGCTGAACCCTAGAAGAAGGTACCCCACAGACTGTTAAGGCCCTGGAATAAGCCCCTGGTTTCTGGTCTTCCTCCATTTGGCTCTTCTGTTCCCCCCCCCCTTTTTATTTTAAATTTCAGAAATTGATGCACTGTCATTTTATTTTACTTATTTATTTATTAACTTTTATCCTCACCCAAGGACATTTTTGCATTTATCTTCAGATAGAGCTGGAGAGAGGTGTGGGGAGGAGAGAGAGAGAGAAACATCGATGTGAGAGAGACACATCGAGTGATCGCCACCCACACGACCCCAACTGAGGCTGGGGACAAACTGCAACCAAGGTACATGCCCTTAGCGGGAATAGAACCCAGGACTCTCTGGTCCGTGGGCTGATGCTCTAACTGCTGAGCCAAACCGGCCCGGGCTCTGTTCCCCTTTTGGTTCACTAAGAGATTTCAAAATCCTTCCAATGAATTCCCTTTGGCATTCAGATAGGCGGAATCATTTTTTTTTCTATTCACAAGCTAAGAACCTTTACTCATATGTAAGTATTTAAGACCTCAGGCATCAAAGACATTTCTAATAGTAGGCATTTCACAAATATAGATACTAAATATGATAGACCTTGTGCCTTTGATTAGTGCTGGAATTAAGTAGAACGTAGACTCAGACAGGTTTGAGCCTAGCTCTTGCTTCAGGACCACACATTACAGAATGTCTAGGAGGAGAGCCACGGGGTCCCGCATACACAGATAGTCACCAGGGAACGAGCTGCTTAGAGAACAGGAACACAGAGCACATCATGGGCGGTGGGCTGGAAAGGAGGGACAGCTCACTGAGGCCTCTCCGTTAGGAAGCAGTGTTACCTAAACAACAACCTGCACCTAAGTATAAGTTGTCTCAAACCTGATCTCATCCAAGTTCACTAACCAAACCTGAACTTGCTCTTTTTTGTGTGTGTGAGGTCATTAAAAGACTACAACCAAACAACTGTCATGTCAATGTTCCTGCCTCTCTTTATGATAGCTTGACATTTTAAGGTGTAGCAATGGTGTGGGGAATCTGAGGTTCATTCGTGCTCCACTACATGAAGTATGAAGTACGGCTCGAGGTCTGTTTCTGTGGTTGGTGGAATGTCTGGTTTCCTGGATGCCAATCGCCAGAAGCTGGCAGGTGTGAGGCAGTGGTGACAAGAGCCTGAATGCAGGTAGTAGATAATAGACCTACCAGCCAGTGTACTCTCTAGTGTGCACACTGCAGTTTACACTCTTCTTCAGAAGCTTACGTCTGAAGTCCTTCAGCCAGTTATTAGCACAGTGTGTATCTGACGACATGTTCAGTAGTGCTGGTGAGAACGTTTTAGAGGCAACACCGCAAAAAGAATACATTTGCTTTCTTAACTGCAGGAGGTTCGATTATATTTGTCAAATTCTTTCTCTATGGGGCCCTGGCAGGTTTGGCCCCGTGGTTAGAGCGTCGGCCTGCGGTCCAGAGAGACCCGGGTTCGGTTCCCGCTAAGGGCACGTACCTCGGTTGCAGTGGGGTTGCAGTTTGTCTCTGGCTGTGCGGGTGGCAACCACTCGATGTGTCCCTTCATCTCATGTTTCTTCTCTCTCTCTCTTTTCCTCTTTCTCCCTCCCACTCTATCTGAACAAAAAATGGAAAAATGTCCTTGGGTGAGGATTAAAAAAAAAATTTCTTTATGGGGAAGACTGCCAAGCTTTTGTAAAAATTACCCACTAAACCTGAGAGACTCATCAGTGCCTTATTGCTTTAGCTTTACCCATATCTGTGGTTTTAGAAAATGTCTATGTTTTAGATTTAAAATAAAAAGTATATACACATATATACACATATAAACAAACTTTGGCTCAATTTACATTTCATTACATTATTATGTCGCATTCTGGTTTGGGAATACTAGTCTATTTCACTTTATGGCAATTTTTCAAAATGTGCTACTAAAGCCTTTAAGGTCTTTTTATGATCCTAGAACAGTGATCAATTTGGTAGTCACTAGCCACCTATGGCTGTTCAAATTTATGTCTAATTTAATTAAAATACAGTTAGTAACACTAGTCACATTTTTAGTTCAGTGGTCAGAGGTAATCGATTGCCACTGTATTAGACATATTTGACAATATATAGAACAATTCCATCACCACAAACAGTTCTATTGGATAGAGCTGTTCTAGAATGTACCTGAAACTAAGGGGTTAACAACCCAGTTCACGTAGTTTCAGCCGCTCAAACAGTTCACCAATCTCACTCTGCTCCCATTAGCACCGTTCATCTCGAGTTTAATAATCATCCTCTTTTATCGCAACATAAAAAGTACAATTCAAAGTGTTACCTGTGGCCCATATAAGCACACGTGTATACTATTGAGAAAAGCCTGTTTTTCTCAGTATCTTCAGAAAAGTTGGGCCTAATTAGGAATCCTGCTAAAAGTGTGATAATGAAACTAGGAATGTTTGTTATAAATTATTTGTGATTTTGAGCTTCCTTTGTTAAGGTGATCCAATTATTTGGCGTGTAAGCACCTTTGCCCCATGACACAAATAAATATTCCCTAGGCTTTCACCCAAGAGGTTTGGAGTCGGTCCCAGTGATAATCTTTATGTAAATGCTCAGTGGTTAATGTCTGCTGCTGCTCTAGGCATGACAGCATCATAACGTTAAAGACTAGTACTGACTGCTGTCAAACACATGGGCAGACAGGTCTGAGCCTGTCTCTTGCTTCAGGACCACATATTCAGGAAACACGGACCATGTCACTGTCAGCACGATGGATGGGGAAGGCTTTTCTACTCTAACGTGTGCTCTATGTGACTCCGTGGGACATGGCAGTTGTGTGTTTTCAGAGGTCCTCGTGTACAAGTGCCAGACGGTACCGTCAGAGAAGAAAGTGGAGAGCAGGTGGGGAGAGGTGTTATTCTATGGATACACATGTGCATGAACACCAGATAAGTTTTTTTAAAACTTTCCTCACTGCTTTTAACATAATTTGCAAAGTTTCTAGGAATTTAAAGTTCATAAAATTTCTACCTGTAATTGGCTTCTTTAATGTGTGTTGTTTTTGTCTTCTCATACTTGTTGGGAAGGAAAAAAAAGCCAAGAATAATTATGCCTGTGGACGAGGATAAATACGCATTTAAGGCAACCAACACCAGTTAGATATCCTAATTAGTGTGACAAGAGACCCGGTGAGCACCCAGGGGTTTAATGTCTCATAATTACACAACTTCTACAAGCAGTTGGCTTGCCATAGAGTGTCAGCGTGGAAAAGTGCTCATCCACGAGAGTGTACAAACACTGGACAGTTTTCTCACACTTGGTGCCTATTCAAAACTCGAAGAGACCCTGGCCGGACTTGGAGTGAAGAGGGAATGGGCTGGTGGGGGTGGTCTAGCTCCACTGGATAGATGCCAGACACAGAAGGGCCTGTCCAGGAGCCACCTTGGACTGCATCCTCCCTTTCTTGTTCTCTGCCACAGATGAGATCGTAACTGCTTTCCTGCTGTGTGCCCAGCCCTGCCCCCGCATCATTTCATAGAATACAACAGCCCTGCGAACATAATAGCACAGAGGAGAAAACTGAGGCTCACAAAGGTTAGGTGACTTGAGAAGGTCACACAGCCAGGAAAGGTGAGGGCCAGGATTCAAGTCTAGGCTTTATTTTATTTGTTGTTATTTTTTGAATCCTCATGGGAGGATATTTTTCCATTTATCTTCAGGTAGAATGGGGATGGGGCGAGAGAGAGAATGAGAAACACTGATGTGAGAGAGACACATGGGCTTCGCTGAATCCAAAGTCCATGCTCTTCTTCTCTGCTTTTCACCAGCTACCAATTGTGGGGATCAGTACCCTAAAGGGTTCCTTTATATACATGTATATGTCCTATACATGAAAGTAAGCAAGGTAATGCTGAACTGTATTTTCATCCATTCATCTTGTAATTTATAAAACTAATTCACAAGAAACATGTAGGTAAAGACCCAAATGTGAAACATAAAAGCACAGCAGCTTTGGTTGAGCCAGGTGAGCCCCAGGAGCCCTGACTCCTCCTCCTGCTCCTCTTGCCCCACCCCCTTGCGGTTTCTAGACCCCCTGGGGCACAGCAGGAAAACCACCTGCATCAGCCTTAGCACTCCCTGCAAACAAAGTCTAAAGTTGATATTTCATCTTTTTATGTAGGTGTGCATCATGGTTCTTGGGTGAACAGATCCCTAACAAATAGTTTTGAATGAAAAATGAATGCTGTTAATAACCATAATAAACCACAGTTATCAGAGCAGGACCTTGTGGCTTCCCTTGCTGGTGAGAGGGGTGACAGAGATGACCATCAGGACTTTCCTTAAACCAGGGTCACAATCTTTCTGGTTACTCCTGCACTTCTTCACTAAGTTTTCGTTAAAATCTGTGGTGTTAATATTAAACTCAAACAAGAACAAGTCCAATGGAATCCAGATTCTAATTCATTTTTCAAAAACCAATACTTAGTGAACAACCTTCTTCCTCCCTTCTTCTTCTTTTCTTTCCCATCCTTCCTCATTTCTTTCCATCCTTTTCTCTTTCCTTTCTACAGATTCTTTATTTTATTTTATTTTTTCTTTATTGATTTTATAGAGAGAGGAAGGAAGAGAGAGAGAGATGGAAACATCAATGAGAGAGAACATCAATTGGTCACCTCCTGCATGCCCCCTAACTGGGGATCAGGCCCACAACCTGGGCATGTGCTCTGTCTGGGAATCAATCCAGCGACCTCTTGGTGCATGGGTCGACGCTCAACCACTGAGCGACACTAGTCAGGCTTCTACATATTCTTATTCGTGGAAAACTATGCCTTGCCACTATGCTGCTGATAATGGATTAGTCAGCTCATCCTCAATGTAAAGAACATTATCTTCTCAATATCTCTAATTATCAGGGAATTGCAAATCAAAACCACAGTGAAATATCGCTTCACACCTGTTAGGATGACTTCATGTTATAAGAAAGTCAAAAGACAAGGGTTGGCAAGGATGTGCACTGGTAGGAATGTATAGTCATTCTGGAAACTGGTATGGGGGTTCCCCAAAAAATTAAAACAAAACTACCGTGTGATTCAGCAACCCCACTTCTGGCTATATATGCAAAGGAAATAAAATAACTCTCTCAAAGACATATCTGCACTCTCATGTTCATAGCAGCATTATTTACAGTGGTCAAGATGTGGAAACAATAAGTGTCCAGCAACAGATGAATGGATAAAGAAAATTTACATACACACACATGCATGCGCGTGCGTGCGCACACACACACACACACACACACACACACTGCAGTATTATTCAGCCTTAAAAAAGAAAGGAATTCTGCCCTGGCCAGTTTTGCTCAGTGGTTAGAGCATCGGCCCCAGACCAAAGAGTCATGTATTCGATTCTGGTCAAGGGCATGTACCTCGGTTGCGGTTCGTCCTGGCCCTGGTCAGGGTCGTGTGGGGGAAACCAGTCAATGTGTCTCTCTCACATTGATCTTTCTCTCTCTGTGTGTCTCTTCTTCCCTCTCACTCTATTTGAAGATAAATGGAAAAATATCCTCTGGTGAGGATTAAAAAATAATAATGAAAAAATAAAAAAGAAGGGATTCTGACATTTGTGACATGGATGAATCTGAAGGACATTATACTAAGTGAAATAAATCAAGCACAGGAAGACAAATACTGCATAATATTACTTATGTGGAATCTAAAAAAAAGCAAATTTATAGTAGAAGAGAGTAGAGTGGTGATTACCAAGGGCTTGGGGGTGCAGAAAATGGTAGATGTTGGTCAAAGGGAACAAACTTTCAGTTATAAGATAAATAAGTTCGTCCTGGCCGGTTTGGCTCAGCGGTTAGAGCATTGGCCTGTGGTCCAGAGAGACCAGGGTTCAGTTCCCGCTAAGGGCACGTACCTCGGTTGCAGTTTGTCCCCGGCCCTGGTTGGGTCGTGTGGGTGGCAGCCACTCGATGTATCCCTTTCACGTCAATGTTTCTCTCTCTCTCTCTCTCCTTCCCACTCTGTCTGAACAAAAAAAATTGGAAAAATGTCCTCGGGTAAGGATAAAAATAATAATAATAATAATAAGATAAATAAGTTCTAGAAACCAAAATGCCCAGCATGGTAACTGTAGTCAATAATAATGTACTGTGTATTTGAAATTTGCAAAGAAAGTAGATCTCAAGTGTTCTTACTACACACACACGTAACTATGTGAGGCACTGGATATCTTAACTAGCCTGATTGTGGTAATCATTTCACACCGTATACATCTATCAAGACATCACACTGTATACCTTAAATGTATACAATTTTTATTTGTCAATCATATTTCAGTAAATCTTTTTTGTCTGATAAAGAAATGCATGTGGGGTATTTTTTGTTCCTTTAAGAAGTATATTACAGCCCTGGCCGGTTTGGCTCAGCGGTTAGAGCGTCCGCCTGCGGTCCGGAGAGACCCAGGTTCGGTTCCCGCTAAGGGCATGTACCTCGGTTGCAGTTTGTCCCCGGCCCTGGTTGGTCGTGCGGGTGGCAGCCACTCAATGTGTCCCTTTCACATCGATGTTTCCCTCTCTTTATCTCTTCCTCTCTCTCCCTCCCACTCTGTCTGTACAAAAAATGGAAAAATGTCCTCGGGTGAGGATAGAAAGAAAAAAAAAAAAAAAAAGAAGTATATTACAGCCCTGGCCAGTTTGGCTCAGCGGTTAAAGCGTTGGCCCACCGACCAGAGTTTCGGGTTCGATTCCGGTCAAAGGCACATACCTTGGTTGCAGTTCAGTCCCTGGCCCTGGTTGGAAACATGTGAGAGGCAACCAGTCGATGTGTCTCTCTCACATCAATGTTTCTCTCTCTCCCCATCTCCCTCACACTCTGGCTGAAAATAAATGGGAAAAAAATATCCTATGGTGAGGATTAAAAAAAAAAAGAAGTATATTACATACCTTTTTTGTTGTTGGCATTGGCATGATGAAATGGTAATAGTAATTTCCTGACACCTTTTGACTTTTCACACTCTTTTTTCAAAACAGTTGAATAGATTATACGAATGTGTTGGTTGGTTTCTCTGTCTTGTGGACTCAAAAATTCTGGGTAATCATCAATCTGAAAACAAAAAATAAGTTGACTGAAGACAAGCACAACTGCTTATGTTTTCTGGGATAAGAAATCCCCAAAGCTTAGGGCAAGTTTAAATTGCATTCTTCCTATGTACTTTTTCCCTGATAAATCTTTCCTCTTCTTGTTGTTAGGTTTCCCAATTCCTCCTCTATTTGTTTTAGTCTTACTAAAAAGTGCTCAACAACAGAACCCAGGAAACTATTTACCCTATAGGATTGCTAAATAAATAGTAACAGTGTTTTTGTTTGTTAAAATATATCCCTTCCCACTTCCATTCTGGAAAAAAAAAAAGATTGAAAAGGTCTCAAAACTGTATAATTAATTGAGCTTAAACTAGAATTTTTCTATGCAGGAGACAATGGCCATTTGTAGGAACAGACTACTACAAAGATTCCCTGAACACAGACATGTAGGTTTGAATTACTGGAAGTTTCCTACTCATAAATAGCTTCCTCTTCTCTCTAAAGTGCTCTATTTTCTCTTCTTCATTAAAAAGAGAAAAGGTCTTGTCCTGATCTAGTGTCTCAGTTGGTTGGAGCATCAACCTGTACACCAAAAGGTTTCGGGTTCAATTCCTGGTCAGGGCACATACCTAGGCTTTGAGTTCAATCACCAGTTGGGGCAGGTATGGGAGGCAACCAATCAATGTTTCTCACTCACATTGACATGTTTGTTTTTCTCTCTCCTTTCCTCTCTCTCTAAAAAAAATCAATTAAAAAACATATCCTTGCCCAGCTCATATGGTTCAGTGGTTGAGTGCTGACCCATACACCAAGAGGTCACTGGTTTGATTCCCACTCAGGACACATGCCCAGGTTGTGGGCCAAATCCCCATTGTGGGGCATGAAGGCGGCCAATCGATGTTCAATCTTATTCAATAAAGAAAAAAATATATTTTTAATATCCTCAAGTGGCCCTGGCTGGTTTGGCTCAGCGGTTAGAGCGTCAGCCCACAGACCAGAGAGTCCCAGGTTCGGTTCCCGCTAAGGGCACGTACCTCAGTTGCAGTTTGGCCCTGGCCCCGGCCCCAGTTGGGGTCGTGTGGGTGGCAACCAATTGATGTGTCTCTCTCATGTTGATGTTTCTCTGTCTCTCTGCCCCCTCTCTCCCTCTTGCTCTATCTGAAGATGAATGCAAATGTCCTCGGGTGAGGAGATAGATAGATAGATAGATAGATAGATAGATAGATAGATAGATAGATAATAGATAGGTAGATAATCTTTAAGTGGAGACTAAAAAAAAGGCAAAAGGTGTCAATAAATACTTTTCCCAGGAGGCCCCTGAAAGAAAATCACAAAGATGTGTTCTTTTACTTTATAACAGAAGAAGTGCTTAAAGCAGTTAGGTTTATATGGTCTATTTAGGTTTATATGGTCTATTTATTACTATAAATTTCATGCGAAGAGTTGTCCAATCAGAAGAGATGCTCAGCCTTCCTTAGGTTATATTTGCATAGGTAAAATAGTATAAATAGTTTAGAAATTACATGTTTTATGGGAAGTCTCTTGAGATTTGTCAGTGCCCTTTCTGTCCATGATAGATTTTTATTTATCAGAGTCTTGGTAGTGCTTGACCGGATCATATTAGACAATATCAGATTGTTGTCAATCATAATTTCAGATATTATGCAAAATGTTGACTTGATGACAGCCTTGTTTTTAATTTGAATTTACCACCTTCTAGACCAGTACATTTTTAATGGGGAATTATGTCAGTCTTACCTATGCCGTTTGTAAAAAATACAGATATCTAGGCCTACTTCGGACTTACTGAATCCCTTTACTTGTTAGTCTTGGTTTATAGTTGGTATATTCTCTTTTTTTAACTTTGTTTTATTGTTGACAATATTACAGATGTCTCCCATTTTCTCCCGTTTTTGCCGTCCTCCACCCAACACCCACCCACCTCAAGTCTTCCCCATGCTTTGTCTGTGTCCATGGGTTATGCTGATACGCATATATGTTCTTCGGTTAATCTCTTCCTGTCCCCTCCCCGCCGCAACTAACCCCCATTGAGATCTGTTATTCTGTTCCATGCATCCATAATCTATTTTGTTCATCAGTTTATTTTGTTCTTTAGATTCCACTTATAAGTGAGGTCATGTGACATTTGTCTTTCTCTAACTGGTTTATTTCACTTAGCATAATAATATCCAGGTCCATCTAGGGTAAGAAATCCCTGTTTTTTACAGCTACATAGCATTCCATTGTGTAAATGTATAGTTGGTATATTCTTGGCACAATATATATATGTATATATACCAGGGTGGGGCAAAAGTAGGTTTACAGTTGTAAGTATGCAACACACGAAGTTTATTCTTGTATTATTGTTTATTAATTATTTTCCATACAAACAACTGTAAACCTACTTTTGCCCCACTATGTATGTATGTGTATATATACATATATATGCAAATACACACAATGTCTCAGTATTATTGTGGTATTTTCAAGATTCTCCCACTATATAAATTCTGTTCATTCACTCTTATAAATCAGATGAAACTTTTACTGATATATTTGAGAATAGGCTTCATCACTATCCTTAGGCATATTTTGTCTAATGTTTTGCAATGGCTTTATGATCTTTGTTCTACAGGTTCCATAGAAACCACCGGATTTTCTTATCAGTTGCCTATTCTCAATATGAGCTCTCATCAGACCTCTCACATTTGAAAGTTCTCAAAACTGCCCTGGCTGGTTTGGCTCAGCGGTTAGAGCGTCGGCCTGCAGACCAGAGTCCCAGGTTTGGTTCCCACTAAAGGCATGTACCTTGATTGCAGTATGTCCCTGCCCGGTTGGGGTGGCAACCAGTCAATGTGTCTCTATCGCATGGATGTTTCTCTCCCTCTCTCTTCCCCCCTCTCTCCCTCCCACTCTATCTGAAGATAAATGCAAGAATGTCCTCCAGTGAGGATAAAGAAGGAAAAAAAGAAAGTTCTCAAAACTAACGAGAGCCATGTGAAGTCTCTATCTCCTACAAATAGTTTTTGTCTTATTGTAATGCTTTCTTTTTAAATTATTTTTTCCTTTATTGATTTTTTAGAGAGAGAGGAAGTGAGAGGAAGAGAGAGAGATAGAAACATCGATGAGAGAGAACATCGACTGGCCGCCTCCTGCATGCTTCCCACTGGAGATCTGGCCCACAACCTGGACACATGTCCTGACCGGGAATTGAACCGGCGACCTCTTGGTGCATGGGTCGATGCTCAACCACTGAGCCACACTGGCCAGACTGTAATGCTTTCTTAAAAGTTCGCCTACGGCCCTGGCCAGTTTGGCCCAGCGGTTAGAGCGTCGGCCTGCGGTCCGGAGAGACCCGGGTTCAGTTCCCGCTAAGGGCACGTACTTCGGTTGCAGTTTGTCCCCGGCCCTGGTTGGTCGTGCGGGTGGCAGCCACTCTATGTGTCCCTTTCACGTCGATGTTTCTCTCTCTCTCTTCCTCTCTCTCCCTCCCACTCTATCTGTACAAAAGATGGAAAAATGTCCTCGGGTGAGGATTAAAAATAAATAAATAAATAAAAATAAAAGTTCTCCTACTCCCTGGCCGGTTTGGCTCAGCGGTTAGAGCGTCCGCCTGCGGTCCGGAGAGACCCGGGTTCGGTTTCCGCTAAGGGCATGTACCTCGGTTGCAGTTTGTCCCCAGCCCTGGTTGGCCCTGGTTGGTCGTGCGGGTGGCAGCCACTCGATGTGTCCCTTTCACATCGATGTTTCCCTCTCTCTCTCTTCTTCTCTCTCCCTCCCACTCTGTCTGTACAAAAAATGGAAAAATGTCCTCGGGTGAGGATAAAAAAAAAAAGTTCTCCTACATGTTAAAGATCATTTAGTGTCTTCAACACAGCAATGTCTCATAACCTCCTGAAAAAAGGATTAACTACGTTCTTTAAACTACTAACAGTTCATAGCTCAGCTGACATTACTTAGACAATGCTCAGACCACACCAAGACTGAGTCAGGGTTTCCAGGACTCCAGAAAAAATTTCAGGACCTCAAAATTCACTTAAATATATGGGTACTGCAAGAAAATTTGGTGATGAGAGTTTCTTGGATTTGATATCCTATCCTTGGGAAAGCAAAGAATATAGGCTTTTGAAAGTCCAACCTGACATTCATTATAAAAACTTCCAGACAGAAGTTAAATTTATGGCTACAATCATTGTTTGGTACTCTAGATTTGCAAATATATGGTAAACTAATACTTTTGCGGCACCTACGTAAATAATCAGGCCAATCTAAACAGAGCTTTATTTTGTGATTAAGAATAATCTTTTCTTTGAGATTATTATTATGGTGAGTGAGTGGCGGAAACCTTTGCAACCGAGGTACGTGCCCTCATCGGGAACCGAACCTAGGACTCTCTGGTCTGCAGGCGACGCTCTAACTGCTGAGCCAAACTGGCCAGGGCGAGTTCAGGCTTCTTTTATGTCAAAGGAAGGGGGGCTGGGAAGGGATGTCTTTGTAAAACTCAAACCCCAAGCAGAATTCCCCTAATGATTAGAAGCTATTAGCCTGCAGGCCGTGGAGCAAAGCGGGCCTGACCAACACGGAGTCCTGAGAGACCGAGCATTTCACTCTGTCACAACCTGATCAACACTTAAATAATCAGCCTGATCGACCCGGCCATCCCCTAAAGGAAATTAACGTTGCGATGACTAACCTACTTTTTTTTTTGCCTCGAATAATGTCCTTATTCCCACTCTCACTGCCTACAAAAGTCTTTCACCTTGCAGAGATCCTCAGAGCTCCTTTCTGTCTGCTAGCTTGGCTGCTGCTCAATTCAAATTGATTTTTGCTCAAATAAACTCAAAATTTTTAATATACCTCAGTTTATCTTTTACTAAATCCCACCACCCAGAGGTACCACAGTGAACCGCACAATAAGAAAATGTGGTGTACAACTTTCCAAACTGCTCTGTGCACTAACACACATGGAGCCAAGATCCCTGTACTGTTTCATCATCTTTTATTTTTACTTTATGGCATAGC